AACTTATCTCATCTATATTTTGTGCTTGCCCTTTCCACAGCGCCAGCAACAGCCGCAACATAAGCTCCTCAGCAGCGACGGCCGCTGCGGTGGCCGCAGCCGCAGCAGCTCTGTCATCGGGCTCGCAGCGCGGCGGCAGCAGCAACCTGATTGGCAGCGGCAGCAACCACTCGATACTCCCGCCACCTAGATCCTCGCTGGCAGCAGCAGCCGGAGCGACACTGGCAGCGGGCACAACCATAACGCCAGCCACAAATAGTTCGCATCGATCGAACGTATTGCCGCCGCGCACAAATCTGCCGAATCTCACGATTACGCCGTCGGTGACCATAACGCCAACGTCGGCGCCGCCATCCAGCCTGAAAGCACGCAATGTGAGTTATTGTAATGTCATCGTTGCCGTAAGCGCCGAGTTTTTCCACCCTAACTTTAAATCTGATTTATCAAATATATATACATACCTATATATATATATCAACATGTATTCCAAATGCACCAAACACACAAGAACAAAAAACACTTATTGATTGGAGTATTAGAGAGTGTTGAGCACCACAACAACACTTGTCAAAATTGCTGCACAAAACTCACGCTTACCAACACTATAAACACCTAAGCAGACGAATTATCGAAGCAAATCGTTGAAGCGGACCATCTAACGACTTAACTCCCTTCACTATGTCTCTATAATTCGTCTTGCAACACTAGAGAAAACACTTTAACTGTCATCTTGAGCTGCCTTGGAACGTGTTGCGTAGCCTGCTCGCTTGTACTACCAAAGAGAAAGGAGCACAGAAGAAAAGGAAGAAAATCTTGATCATTATCATAATAATAATAGAAAAAACAATTCCGAGTAGGCTGCGCCGTATGGGCCCATTGGCAGCTAACTTTTCTTTTCTTAACCATAAACCAAATTTATTTCAAACGAAAGCCTTTATATTCCTTAAGTGCAAAGAAAGAGACAAAAAGAAAGAAAGAGAGAAATATATAAAGTAAAACCATTTTCGCCATCAGCCCAACATCAAGTGTCTAATTTTCGTTCTATATTTCTACTACTAAAAAAAAAAATTATCTAAATAAAAAAAAATTGCCAAAACATGCAGCCTAATATTTCGGATAATTCGAAGGTACCTGGGACCATTAGCAATTCCGTGTCTATAACGCCGGCGCCCCCACTACAATCGCAGCATCAGAATCAGCTAAACGATTTGAAGGTGAGTCGTGGAACGCGATTTACTCCAATATATATGTACATATTTATCTAATATCATTTTGTTGTCTTTAGAATGATCGCAATGCACAGCGCGAGGAAGCTCAGACACCGGCTCAGCGTCAGGCAGCTGCTAAGATGGCGCTGCGCAAACAGCTTGAAAAGACTTTGCTACAGGTGAGCTGTGTGACCTAATGCAGATAGAGCAGGACGACAACGAGGACGTAGTAGTTGAGCTAGCTAAGCTGTCGGCGGGAAACCCACGAGGATAGAGCTAGGCAGTTTCATTGTTGATAACTCCATAGATATTAAGTTCTTAACACTATTTTGGGTCAGAAATAGAAGGTGCTGACCTAAGCTAGAAGGAAACTAATTGATTTGATAGGAGGAATGGCTCATGTATTGCTCAAATAAGTTAGACTTGGTATGCTAAAACTGATAGATTGACAATATTTCTGGACATATCACATAGATAAGATATTAACATATATATGTTATTATATAAGATATCATATATCACATAGATAAGATATTAAGCTACAGTTGGAGATCAAATTTGAATAGCAAAATTCAGCACAAGTTGATCTCAAATAAGCTTCAATTAGTACTTTAAGCCCGCATCGATATATATCGATAAATATTTATATATCGTGAAGGATTGATATACCTTATAGAGTATCTGTATATATATAAAATTCTCGTGTCCCGGCGTTCGTTGTCTATTTTTCATGACCCCACGTTTAAAGAGTGAGCCACCATTAATTTTTGATGGCTACTGAGGATTACCCAGTAGGCTCGGTGACAGTGACAGTTTTCGGTCATGCTCTCATGTTAAACAATTATTCAAGCGCATTTAATTAATATTACGTGAACGGGATTAGTAAATATATAAAATAC